GGCCCCCTGGAACATAAAACACACCTGGGAGCGGGGCAGCAGGCAGCACCTGTGCTTCTGTGCGGAGGGGCGCGCGCCGGCGGTGGTCTGAGCGCAGGCGCACTCGGAGCCGCGGCCCGCTGGCTTTGTAACCCCGCCCCCCTTCCCTGTCCCTCCTGATTGGAGCGCAGGCACACCGTCTTTCCTGATTGGCTGACTCAAGGGGCGGGGCGGACCTTTGCGGGTCCAAGATGGCGGCCGACATGGCGCTGCCTACGGTTCTTGGATGGAGAAGGCGCGTCCATTCTCTGTTCCCCTTTTCTTGATTAAACTCTTTTCTTCAGACTCGGCTGGCGGCCACGGCTCTCCCACCGCAAATTCCACGTAAAAAACAAACACTTCCCCACTCTGCACCCAGCATCCCATCTGTGCCGGGTATGGAGAGGTACGAGGGCCTTGACAGCCTATCCAGCCCACAGCACCACCTTTTTCTTTGCATTTAAAAAAAAATTATAGAAAATAATATAATAAACCACATACACCAACTGAAATAATTAATACTGATTTTCAGCTTCGATTATTTTAACTCAAAATAGAGTTTAAATGTTAAAGCCCTTGTGTGATTTCCTCAAGTGCAAAGGGAAAAACACCTTATTGATTTCTGTTGGGCGGGGCGGGCCGGGCCGCTGGCCGTGGAGGACGGGGGCGCAGTGAAGGGCCCCCGGCCAGGAAGCATCCCGGTGAGGAGCTGCAGTTGGGCCTCCACTCACCTGCCGGCGCAGCATGGTCCTCCCTGCGCTCACCCCGCCCGGCCCTGCACTGCACACCGAGCACTGGACCCTGCACTGCACACCGAGCACTGGACCCTGCACTGCACACCGAGCACTGGACCCTGCACTGCACACCGAGCACTGGACCCTGCACTGCACACCGAGCACCAGGCCCTGCACTGCACACCGAGCACTGGACCCTGCACTGCACACCGAGCACTGGACCCTGCACTGCACACCGAGCACTGGACCCTGCACTGCACACCCAGCACCGCCCCCTGCACTGCACACTGCACACCGAGCACCAGGCCCTGCACTGCACACCGAGCACCAGGCCCTGCACTGCACACCCAGCAGCCCGCCCTGCACTGCACACCGATCACTGGACCCTGCACTGCACACCGAGCAGCCGAGGCCCGGGCATCAGTGCACCGGCATCTGCATTGTTTGGGGTTTTTTTTAACTAAATGGCCAGTGGTATGTTCTGATCGCATCACATGGAGATGGGACGGGAAATACTGGTTCTGGGAACACCCCCCTCCCTCCGTTAGCTGCGTGCTCATGCAGCTCTGGGCCTTAGGGTCCAGGACGTTTTGTTGTTTTTTTAATATATTTTTTATTGATTTTAGAGAGGAAGAGAGAGAAACAGGGAGAATATCATGGATCAGCTGCCTCCTGCACGCCCCCCGCACCCCAACTGAGAATCAAGCCAACAACCTGGGCACGTGCCCTTGACCAGAATCGAACCCAAGACCCTTCAGTCCACAGGCCGATGCTCTATCCACTGAGCCAGACCGGCCAGGGCAGTTATTTTGCTCTCACTGTTTAACAAAAAAAAGAACAACATAAAAATTCTTGCATACCTTGTTTGATTGGAGAATTTTAATGTTTTTCATTTTTTACCATTGTAAAATCAAGGACAATTTCATAACTCTTTTGTATGCAGCTGTTACAGGGAGGGCGGTCTGTCTTTAAGTAGGGATTAAAGCACTCTAAAAAAATGAATCCTAGATAGTTTTCCCTTCAAGTGTCTTGTTGTTTAAATAAACTTCTTGCTTAAAATGAAAACAAAAAACAAAACCACACCACAAACAGAAAACTTTTCTTAAAACGTAAACCCTAGGAAGGTTGTCAAACCCATTCTACCAAAAGATTATGTAGCAAAGTGACAAGAGGGTATAAAACACAAACATATGCTGGTAAAGGTTCGGTTCCCATAACTAAGTTTCTTTTTAGTACCTGGTTAATATAACACATAATAGTTTATAGGACTTTTGCTTTAGGAAAAGACTAACCAAAGTAAGGTTTTCTTTTCAACATTTTTCTTTACAAACATTCTATATCTTTTACAAATTTTTCTTTAGAAACCTTATAACTTTCAGAAATAACCAGCTTTAGCAACCACATTCTTTCTTCTTCAAAATGCATTTTCACGCCTCATCCTTTCTCTGTTATACCGAAACCATAATTCCTTTTCATAATTTTTGAATTTTTTAACCTTAGAAGCCTTGATGTTTAGGTGGCATGTAATTAACATTCCTCAGATTAGCAATACATTCACATTTTAAGAGATATTTCAAGTAAAATACAAGACTTATTCATTAATAGATTCAAATCCCTCCTCTATATGTTTTCCCTAAGAGGCAAACTCAAGTTAATTAATGTTGCAGTATCCTGTTACTTCAAAATATTTAGATGTTTATTATTTAACCCAGCAACGCTCCAAAGCCTGTAAGTTATCAAAGACTTTGGGAAATGATGTGTCGGCCCAGGAGGCTGGAGGAAAGGGCAGGGGGAGGGAGCAGGCCCGGCAGCCTGTTCCCAGGCCTTGGGTTCAAAACTGCCCCGTGCTCCCTGGAGATGACCTGCTCGGGGATGGGCGATGCCCTGTGGCTCCTGTTCCGAGCCCCTGCCAGCCCTTCCCTGGGCCACTTGTCCGGCCGTTGTGAGCGTTAGGTCAGCCTTCTGTGTCTGCCTTTTTTATCTTTACCTCTAGACCTCCTGAGCCTCTTTTCTCAGCTCTTCCGCACCCTCTCCTGCCAGTTCTCTAACTTGGCAGTTTTCGTGAGATGTCAGGGCCACTATTGGTAACAAAATGTAATTTTTAATATTTCTTGGCCCAGCAGGTCCTCTGGGCCTGGCCCCGAGCACGCTCTCCTTTGCTCTTTGAGCCTCGGCGGAGGTCGGAAGGCCCTTCTTGGCCTCGCTGACTACTGAAGGCTTAGACTTAGACACTGTACTTAGCCCTGCACTTGCCCCGAGCTGGGCCAGGCAGGGGTCAGCCCCAGGCGCCGGCGGGTGGGTGCAGGTGTCGGTGTCTCAGCCACGGCGCTCCCTCACGGGGCCCAGACTGGGGCCTCACAGGGCCTCACCCCACAGGCCTCATAGGGCTGGGGCCGGGGACCTTGGTCACACAGGCAGGACCAGCCCCCACAGACCCCCAGCCAGGGACGGAGCAGCGGGTGACGGTTTCGCCTGTGCCCTGCCTGTCCCTCGGGCCCCAGGGACAGCCATTGGGTGACAGGTGGCCGCTGCCAGCCAGCGCCCAGGAATGCTGCGGGGCCGGGTGGCACTGGGTGGTGCAGGCAGAGTGAGGCCTTGCAGCCTCCAGCTACTTCCTGGGTGAGTCACCTCCCAGGAAGGCGCTAGGCCCTATCCTTGGGCTCCCGCAGCCCATGCCCGTGGGCCCTGCCGGCCCCTGGCAACCCCCACCTTCCAGGGGCTTGGAGGCCCCCAAAGGAGAGGAAATGTCTGTGGGTGACCCAAGGGGGCCTCGGGGCAATGGGGAGCACATGCTCCCCAAACTGTGCAGAAGTTTTTCTCAGGGTAACGAGCTTATTGGAAACAGTGCTAAACCTGAGAGCTCCTTTTCCTTAAGCCAGTGCGTTTGTGTGTGTCTCTTCCTCC